ACGTCTGGGAACATATCATTCTATATGAGATGAAATGCTGGGATTTTCTCACGAAATTGTCCGTGCATGATTACATGGATATACAGTATGTGTTTGTTGATACATAATTAATGGCCAGTGTGTCGACAGGAAAAAAAAATCGTTTTTGATTATGATACACATCAACCCACACCCCGTGACGAAAGGCTCAACGCTGTATACAGAAACTACTTAGCCGGCTCACATTGGAGTCCATTGGGATCAATTACGCTGTGCCCTGGGCTCTGTAGTGTCGTCCTGTATGTGTTGTTTCGTTTTCTATAAATTGAAAAAAAAGACGATGTTAAAAATTTGCTTTGAAAACTGCCTAAGAATGTAAATAAACATACATGTGGCTTAACAATGGGAAGATCCATAAAACGCTTTGTTTAATCGGTACACCCACTCCCAAAGTCTGGCAACAACTGTAATATTCACTGAGACGTTGTACATATATTGTCAGAAATATATTGTACACTTTTCAGCTGAAGGATTCCCTTATGCATCGCTCCATTCCACTGACATGTTTCACAAAATATATTTTCAATGATTACTGACGCTTATGTCTCTTTCCTCAACATCAGGCGACGATTCCCCAAAATCTTAAAGAAAACTTTTTCACTAATTTTTAGTCTGGTCCCAATAATTCTGAAGCCTTTATTGTGCTGTCTATGTTCTGGGCGGATTGGTACACTCTAGCGTATATCAAAACACAGCGGCTCCCGTGTAGATATGTAATTTGTTGTTTCTAATAATTAAGAGTCCAATCGTACATTCATCCAGGCAAAGACTTACTTAATTACTATTTTCACTCAATCAATGTATAATGATGTGACATGTATCGTTCAAATCAAACCTCTATTTCCTGCCTGAGTTTATGTCACGACGTGTTTGTACTGTAATTAAAAGAAACAAACTACGTGTTGTACACGATAGAACTACTTGTCATACACAAGATATGGTATGTAAAGATGCGCAACACGGATTTACTGTGAACATTCATAATGATACAAAGGTATGGTAATTTTGATATAATCTTCACTATTTTCAAATGAAAATGAAATATTGATTACATTTTGGAAACGTTCTGGATCAGAATTCCATTGCGACTGATTTTCCGGGAAGGACAAACGACTGATATGTATATATTAATTTCACAACATGATACCAGTGTAACTAGCTCTTACCCGGAAATGGCTTTGTTTGAGGTACATTTATGTCTTACATAACATGAGCTCTCAAAATGGCAATTAAACCACTGTCTTATGAATTTATGTTTCATTTGATACACGCATATCATTAATATTGCGTTTATCTTTACAGATTATTACATTGAAGTGAACAAAAATCTGTCAAATACTAAATTATTATACTACAATACTTTTATTTAAGATCTCAAAGCAAGCACAGGATACAATAGG